ACAACACACACACACGCACGCACACACACACACACACACGCACGCACGCACGCACGCACGCACGCACACACACACACACGCACACACACACACACACACACACACACACACACACACACACACACACACACACACACACACACACACACACACACACACACACGCACACACATCATGGTTTTCTCACCTGAACTTTGTGTGTTTCTGATGAAACTTCTCCGGTCTGCTGCTTGCATCACTGCAGCTTATTACTAAATCCCTTGAGGTCAAAGGTCACCTCTTCTTGTCAACAAAGTGTCCCCTAAGGAGTCTTCCTAAGGACCTCAGGAGCAAAGAGCTCATGTCCACCTGTCCTGAGAACACTAATGACGTCCCAGTAGAGCCATTACATGTTTTATTTTTCTCTCGTCTCTGAATGTCCACACAAAACTTTTATTCATAGTTTTAGTTTTTGAGCCTAAAGATGATTTCAGGTCGGCTTCTACACAACCAGGATCTTCAGATCCAGACTCATCCATCTAATCAGCCCGCCTTGGTCCAGGTTTCAGCTGGTTCTGTCCTAGATCCCAGTGCTGGTTCCTGGATGGTCCTGGTTCGACACCATCATGTGTTTGAGTCCACTCTTCCACTATCAGAGGACTAAGATGTCTCACACTGTTTCTCTTCAGTGAGGTTCTACTATCCGCCATTTGAGAGGTGGTGGAGATAGTGGCGGTGGGGGGTGGGGGGGTGGTGGTGGTGGGTGGGGGGGGGGGGGGGGGGGGTTGATCCACTGGTAGTATGAACACAACATCCAAAACAAGCCCACCACCTGGTCTGCCAGTCCACACGTTCTGACTCTGAACTCCTGCTCAGATGTCTCATTTAAGTCAATCCAAAAGAACCAGGACCTTCAAAAACTGGGAGTGAACTTCATCCAGTAACTCATGGAGTAGTTTGACCTCAAATCAGTTCTGGAAGACAGCTTCCATCACCTGAGTCTTCTGAGGCCCTGTCCACACGTAGCCGGGGATCTGCCAAAACGTAGATATTTCTCTACGTTTTGGCCTGTCATCCACACGAAAACGGAGTTTTTTCACACGAAAACGGATCTTTTTAAAAACTCCGGCCAAAGTGAAGATCTGTGTTTTCTCCGTTTTGGGTGTCTGCGTGTGGACAGACAAAACCGGAGTTTTAAGGTCCGCAACGTCACTTTCCGCGACAAAAAATGATGACATCACGTGTGCGACCTGTGTTTACACTAGCCGGCATCATGGAAGCCTTCGGAGCTGCGCTCTGTCACTACCCGATCCATCAATCGTCCAAGCGCTTTCTGCTTGTTTGTTTTTGCAAGCGGAATTACTGCTCCTTGCGGAAGACCACAGACGAAGGACGAGGTTAAGAACGGGGGAAGTACTGCCACCTACAGGTCTGGAATGTCCTTAATAACGTATTTATCCGGGTACGTGTGGACAGAGTTTGTTTTTAAAACGCGGTGGTGTGGATGCAAGTTTTTGGAGGGGCGGATATTCGTTTTTAAAAAACCCGGCTACGTGTGGACTAGACCTGAATCGGTGACCAAAAGTCTTGATTCAGAGCTTTACCAAACTCCTCCCACCTCCAATCTGTGGTGCAACTCAGCCAGCTGGTGGAGGCCAATCATCTCTTCTCTAGCATCCAGGACTTGCAGACTAGATCTGATCAAGTGACCTTTGACCTGTGACTCGGGGTTTCATGATGACACATCCACTTGGGGACACTCCTGTGCGCAAACATGGTGATTATTATGGAACAACAACGCACCTGAGTTCTGACCTGGCATGAAGTTCCTACAAGCCTTGCTGTTCCAGAACATGATGTCATCACATTCAGAAGACTCCAGAGCAGAAGAAGGTTGGCTCCAGAGCTGGGGGGCCAGGGGGGGCTTTAAATACTTTGTGACCAGGGACCTCAGAACTCATAATCTGGTCCTGACCATCATCATCATCAACATCATCACCATCATCATCATGACCATCATCACCGTCATCATCATGACCATCATCAACGTCAACTTCATCCCCACCACCACCATCATCATCATCGCCATCATCATCATCCCCATCATCATCATCATCATGACCATCATCATCATCATCATCATAATCATCACCATCACCATCATCATCATGACCATCATCACCGTCAACTTCAACCACACCACCACCACCATCATCATCATCATCATCATCATCATCATCATCATCACCATCATCATCATGACCATCATCACCGTCAACTTCAACCACACCACCACCACCATCATCATCATCATCATCATCATCATCATCATCATCATCATCATCATCACCATCATCATCATGACCATCATCACCGTCAACTTCATCCCCACCACCACCATCATCATCATCGCCATCATCATCATCCCCATCATCATCATCATCATGACCATCATCATCATCAACTTCATCCCCACCACCATCATCATCATCATCATCATCATAATCATCATCACCATCAT